CCAATGCCCGCGATAATAAATCGTATGCGTTGTGTCTGATGTTCAAACTTGAGCTATACGACATCACAGTCCATGTTCGTATGCACGCACCAACGCTTGGAATAATAGCCACTGAACAACTCTGAGTTAAATCACATCACGAAAACGATGCTAGAACCCACCTTTACGTTTCCGACGGTGGCTATCAGCAGAAAATCCAACGTCTTCCTCTTCCTCCTCATCTTCCAAGTCTCCAGTGGTTTTCTGCGTTATTCCATTACTTGAGCGTGTAGTGATATCAAACTCTCGACTTCTTCCCCAAGCGGGTTGCTGTAAAATCGATGATGAGCGCTGTCCAGAGGAGTATACCGCAGATTCTAGGCACGCTCACCTTGGACAGCCAATGCATCAACCTGGGTACCAAATGCACAGTTAAACACAGCCACCTTTACACACGAATAGCACTCACCAATCGTAGGGATAGTCTTCTTGGCTGAAATGCGCAGTAAGGAAGAAAGCTAGAGAGCAAGATTTCTGTTTCCTGAACCCCGTGAGAGATAGTGTCTCTACGTACAGTCTACAAACCCATTCCAAGCCGACATAGAAGCCCGACGGGCAGTTTCCATAGTCCCTCCAATCACCACTAGTCTCTATAGTGGTCTTTCAGCGCTGCATAGCCACAGACACAAGCTAAGGCGGGCACTCACCAAGGTGTCGTGTATTGGACTGGCATTACTCGTGAGTGGCGTTAGTAGGCTTTTGAGCGCGTTCATGATGAATAGACGTGCGAGCGTTGCTCATGCAGAAGGGGAGAGTTCACCGGGGAGGACTGAGGTCCTAGGCTTTATGCTCTGGGGACGTGGAAGAATCGAGGCCTCGTGCTCACTCGGATAGTTTGCCCGGCAGAAAGCACCTATTATCGAGCAACGTAGGCGCCACTGGCCTGTGAAACAATTTGAATCTAAAGAATGCGATGTCTTTATACGATGATGATCTACCACTTCCCTAGGAAAGGTCAGGGCGACTGTGGAAATAGTAAAAAGACGATATGATGACGTGCCTCGCACCCTCTGCCGACTTTAAGCTAGAGCCGACAAAGACAACCATTGGTCAAAATACGGCCGCATGCCACTGCATGCCAGCAGCGTGCTCATACATGAACACCGCCACTAGATCTTCATGGCTTCTTAAGTACATCCTTGGGTAAGTGGCACACCGCTCAAGAAAACCGAGCTTCCTCTGAGGATAGATATTACCATATTAGGTACTCACGACGACTTCACTTGTGCGAGCTAAGGGCCTCGTGCTCAAAGAGTTTCTTTTCCTAGTCCAAAATCGCGCGCGGCTGAAGATAAAAAAACGCCTGATCTATCGTAGGTTCCGATAGTGAGCGCATTACAAGAGGCATTTCATACCTCCTCAGTGTCTTTCCACAAAACTATGTACGGCTGCAATTCACTGAACACCCCTGACGTGATTAGGGTCAAATATCTCTATGTAACCGTTTTGAGATTGTGCAACACGCACCTTTAAGAAGTAGAATGCGGCGCTCCAACGTAGCACATCGTGTGATAATCGCATATTTTGCCGAACTAATGAGTAGCTCTGCAGCTGATCGAGTTTTCCCAGCCTCTCGAAGCATTCCACAGACGCTGTGCTTTGAACCGGAGGGTGAACGAGACCGTCAAGTCCCGACGCTGGCGTTCACTTTTGGCGGAGTGAATTCGAAACTGATAGGAGAAAGCGCGTGTCGGCTGCATGTACGAATTAGCCAAGATCGGACAAAAAGGTTGTTTCCAATGCTCTATGAGTGCAAGGTCAGTCTAATACGTCGCAACTTGACATTGATGAGGTGTATCTCCCACATTCCTGACTCAAATCCCGTATTAAAGAGCGGAATCACTGCCATTAAGACGTAAATAGAATGTAATGAGGAAAGGAGAAGTTGAATAGCAAACTCACCGGAATTCAAGAGGACGGGGTGTGTTTGGGCTTGATCGCAAATACACCGTGTGCGTCGAATAGCAATGTCCGCATCTTGGATCAAGGCTACACGAGTGTCACTGGCCGAGACATAGGTAGCTCAGCTGCAAGCCTCACGCTGTAAAGACACCGAAACGTACAAGCTGTTCGGGAGAAGAACACGTGTCTATGAACCTTACCTGCACTCAAAAGCCTCCGTTATGGGAATGTATTATTACCAGTCGTCGACCCGACGAGAGGTATACTGTATATGGCCTCGTGATAAGTGAAGCTCACGAGTGAGGCAACCGACGCCCTTGCAACTCACACGCGCCGTATATCAGCCATGGTCCGAACAAACATGCAGGCTCGCAAACACTCACCATCTTCCGATTCTGACTTCAATTTCAGCATAAATGACATAGTTTGATGATGACTACGTCCGGAGCTTGAAGGTAGAAGCCGTATTGCGATTGACATGACTAACGAGCCGCTGTTGGTAAGGAACGAACGCAAAAACTATCCCATACACCTGCCAACGACAAGATCAGGAATCCTGCAAACCCTAGACTCATAGCTAGTGGGGTGCGACTACTGAGTTACTGAAGCACTGACCTTCCGATGGACGGAGACGGGATTACGATCCGAAACGTTGAAATGGGAGAACTGGGAAAAAAGATTGAGCTCCGGTTTCCTGATTGAAAGAGTAGGAAAGTTGGGTTGTTGGATGCCAAGTGTCGAAACTGCATAGCCCATTCCACATTCCACATTCTGACCTTCCTCGATCGCATTCGCGCAGAGCCGTCTCGCAACCAAGTTGCCTAACAAGGAGAAATGCATATTTGGAGCATATACACGTTCCTGTTTGAAAGAAGGCAAGTCCCAGAGTGTTATTAGCAAATGTAGGGGGTCGGAGTCGAAGGTATTGGTTGAAGAGCAAGATGGCTATGCTCGGGCGGTCCGCAGTATCGATCAACGCATCCCAGGAAGATTATGTTATCTGATTCGGCGGAGAACGAGGCCACGATAGAGTCTAAACTTGTTTAAGTGTCATTCGTATTAGGAGGACCTGCGCCTCCGCATGAAAGACAGATACAATATCGATTGAGCACAGAACCCCAATATGCTGGTGCACGCTAGCAGAAACCACTTACAGGGTACGTAACTGATTTGAACACCAGTGCAGATAGGATGGATATGTCGACAATAGTTCTGTAGACTTGGCAGAAATCCGGGTTATGGACCATGCGGCTACCGTACACCCAGTTAGTGAAAACGCTGAAGTTGACGCCTATAACGCTACTCATCTTCTGTTGGACAGAAATTTGACAAAATTCCATCTTACTTCAGGGGTGTATCATCCAAAAATATGCTCTGCGACCCACACTCCATTGCAGTCATCCAGAAAACATTGCGAGGAATGAAGACCCTTGATACGTCACGTCTGCGAAAGCGCTACAGTATGAGTGGCATAGTAGGAAGAGCATCACTTCATTGTCTTTATCTGCGAATGCAATGGTCTTCTCTATTGTAGGATGTCTTGAAAGAAGAGAAGATGTGACGGACATCAAACCGTCTTGTTGGTTTCGGCAGCACTTTGAGTGACGTCGTGAACAAGTTGCATTGTCTCTAGCTGCGATCTTGGAGCCCACCCGATCCAGAATTTTCCTCGAATATCCTCGGGCATATTATTGAGATAGGAGGATTGCGACGATCCACCTGCGAGATAATGCATTGAAGAGACTCACCGAGGAGTGCCACTCCATAGCCACGTTGACTCGGCAATGAACTCATATAGTAGCTCGGCTTGTCCCGCGTAGTTTGCGTCATAGGCCTATTAAGATATGAGAGCGGTCGAGACGAACGTCACAGGGGAATTGAAGACCCAGATGTAAACCTACCGCCACTCAACTGAACCTGATCTGAGGGTACCGTCACAGAGCAGAAAATGATCACGGAAGCATGTGATTTGCGGCCATGACAGTGACCAGTACTGAGAAGAGAGAAAGCTAGAGAAAAAAACAAGCGGTAGGAGATAGAGATAACAGAATCGGGCCTCAGCTGGAGATGCAGGTAATGAGTACGAGGAGGGTGACCGAAACTCAACAAACAACTCACCAAAAAAAAACACAGTACAGAGGAAGGGTATAGTAGCAAGAAATCGAAATCATATGTGCCCGTTGGTACCATTTGTGTGATGTGGAGGTGGAGGCGCGGGAGGTGCAGACTGCTGTGATGACGGTACCTGCAGAGGCATCATTGGCGCTTCAGGTACTACTGCATTTGCAGTTGCATAGTGCACTGGCACGGGATCATGTTGTAAATAATGCATGAGAGACGGCTGTCCTGGTACTGCTATATCCACAGCATCCAGTAAAAGGCTGGCGAGACCGGTCAGCCTGGTGAGTACTGAATGAAGATGAGGGTCGGGGCATCGGGGCACGCACTTGCATTCGTTCTGGAGATTGCGCATCTTCTCATTGGCGATTGCAAGTTCTCGCTCGTATTTCGAATGTGTCTTTTAAATATGATATCAACTTTTGAATCTGGATAATACGACCTTGCATAAACTCACTGAAGTGACGTGCTCATACCTCTCCTTCATGGCTAGGAACCTATTCGTCCCACCATTCAGTACGTGCCTCCGAGACAAACCATAAGCTACGCGTACTTGTCCTTATACTTTGTTGCTCTGTGTGCTGCTAATGCCTATCCCAGAAGAGTCAGAATAATACGAAGAGTGGCCAAAAATATGGAAACGTGCAGACTGAGTAGCCTTTGATGCGTCTGTCTTGTCCGCTTTTCTGAGTTCAGAATAAGTGCGTTCCAAGCGAGGACGAGCTATTTGCGCAGATGGTATTGACCCCTCCATTTCTTGTGTTAATTCAAGGACAGAAAAAAACAAAACGACAGACGGTGCTGGTGGCAACTTCAAGAGTGCTTTAAACGCGTAAGCGCTTGTTCAGCGAACACGATAGATCTAGATCTGGGGACACTCACTTATGATGTTCTCTCATTCATATATGTGTTCCGCACGAACTATCGTTAGGCAACTCAAGAGGCGCGTAGCTCAGTTGGCAGAGCGTGGGCATAAACCCCAAGGGCGTAGGTTCAATTCCTACCGTGCGTTTGTGCTTCTTCCTGGGGGAATGCACAACGACTTGAGTTGCCTAACTTTTTCCCGTACCACAACGTCCACCATCAAGACACACAACCCCCACAACCATAAATTCATGTTCCCTATGCTATAGGACTCTCTAACGTATGGTGTTTCAATAAAACAACTATCTCAAGATGACATTGCTTCCAAAGTCTCTCACCCATGCAAACAGAGACATGGACGTCAACCAGGCTTTACATGACCTGCAATCTGCCTTAATGCCTCTGAATAGAATCGCATTTGGCAAAGGTGTGTCTTAGCATATTAGATTAGTGCAATAGCTAACATGCGCCATTAGCGTGCTTTAGTCCGCACGTACCAAAAGATGTTCGGAAAGCATGGGGTGCGTCTTTTGACTTGCGTTCTATCATCCGGATACCTCAATACAAGCGACTCATTTGGTGCTTTTAGTCGATCATGGAGGTACTACGTGTACTCTCAAACAAGCCACGACGGAAGAGCACATTCGCTTCTTTTGCTATGGCAGAACGGACCCGTGGTACGGCTAGTAAGTGTAGTTTCATCCTGACATGCATTGATGGGTTATAAACACGCATATAGTCTGTCTCAGAATGCCATAGCTGTACGTACAGATATTTTAGCGCGACACTCATGCTTAGCTGCGGACTTAGATATTCCATGCACTTTGGGTGCTCAAGGTTATAGAAGCGAATTTTATGCTTCCCATCGCGCCGTTTGTCCTCAACTGTATGTCTCCGGTCTATCTCGTGACGGCAACTAGCTGATTATTGACGTATCAAGCTGACCCCGTTACCCCGTCAAGTTCTCCGTGCTCAATTAGTTGTGCGTCTCCCACCCAAATCCCTCAATCAAAGCCAAATCAAAGTTCACCTGTAACCAAAGGCAAGATGCCTTCATCTCTATTGTCTTCCCCTCATCTGGTTCGAAAGGATTTCAAGCATACACTAGCGGAATTTCAGGACAACCAACATGACGTTTTACGGGAAGGAAGGACACTCGTGTACCAGTCTTCTCCACCTCGAAGCGTGCAGCAAAGGGACGAAACCCCTCCTCGTCAAATAACAATCACACCACGTTCACCTCCCCTAGTTTCGTCCTATCCATCCAAACACACATACGAGTCTCACTTTAACCTTTCTCGTACTGCGAAGAAGCCGCGGATCTCAGTCATGCCTGAGCCGCAAGAAGACTCAAATATCTTGCATTCGCAGTTAAGCCTTCTTTCCTTCCCCACTGCCGTCCGAACAGATAAAGATCGACCACCACGCTCTCAGAGCTCCCCCAAGATAATTAGCCCGGATAGCTCGGGAGACACACTCGTATCCGTGAACAACATCCCGCACATCGACTTCCGGGAGATCGCTCAGAAGAAAAGGAAGTCGTCTCCTCGATCGCGTGCTACTCGTTCTAAGCACGGCCTGAAGACGAGAAAGCGGAAGGAGATTCTTCCGTACGTACCAATGCCGTTTTATTTCGGCCCTGTGCAAAGTAATGAGCTTCCATTCAGGCTACCTTTCAAACCGGCGGATAAATACCACGATACTCCGCATATCACGTTGTCGGCAGCTCGTATAGCTCTCCGAGACGTCCAGGTGTCCAAGGCAGCAGTGATACTCCCTCGTCGCGTCCATCTAGGCAAGGCATTTCAGTTCCCGTCAGTCAAATAATAGCATAACTACATACATATAATGATTTGAAAGAAGTTTTGGTGAGCTTTTTTTTTATTCGGGTGTGTAAGTGACTATATTTATTCTATTACGGACTCGCTACCCTACATTGTCACTCATCATACCGCCGCCCAGCCTTTCATGCACCGCTCTCATTATTCGACAGCTTTTTTGATATAGAGGTCGCCTTAGAAAGGACTGTATATTTGCACTCGCGTACGTTATTGCACCGGACTACTGCATCGTTCCTCCACACCTCCTTCCATACCCTTTCGAAATCGACCCGTGTCCCTGATCATACTTATGTAGCATTTTCCGTAGACCATTCATGCATGTTTCTGTAGCACCTTCGCCTTCTATTATTATACTAGTAATTATCATGTATTTTTGCGCTTTTACCTAGTAGACGCGTTCGCCGTTCGGTACAGTACTAAGCGCTAACATGAGCCCCGTGCTCCGGCTTTTCACGGAAGGGCTCGCCGACGGGCGCCTAGCAATTGTACCACAACTTTCGTCCACGACGTCGAGCGAGTCGTCTGCTACCTTTCCTTAAACAATGGCGTCGAGGATTGCCCTTAACACTCTTAGAACAGCAGGTATGTTGTATTACGCTCCTCGCCGTCTCTAGCAATGTCCAAGCTGACTTTTTCAACGCGTTAGTTCGCCCGCAGGCGGTCGCTGCCGTTCCTCGGGTCCTCGCGGCGTGCGTGCTTTTCTACTACAGTCCCAACTAGCTTTGCTAACGACGAGGTTTTTTGTGTGTGTGCTTGGAAATGGTATTGGATATGGTAGTCGCGGAATGTCGAGCTCGTCTGCTCCCCCTCCTGAACAGCGCGCCTCGGAGCTCATCAACAAACTCCCATCCTCCCCCAGCCTGGTCACCAAGACAGGCAGCGCCATCCTCGGAAGCGGTCTCATTGCCACTGCCATCTCCCAGGAGCTCTATGTCATGAACGAGGAGACTATTATCTTGGCCGGTTTCGTTGTTCTTATTTCCTTCATTGCCAAGGTGCGTCACGCTACTTTTCTGAAATTTCTCTTTTGCTGACGGGCAATATTCGTAATTGTTCGTATAGTCCATGAAGGGACCGTACAGCGAGTGGGCTCAAGGCCATATTGACCGCATGACCAACGTCCTGCAGGCAGCTCGTACCCGTCACACCCAATCCGTCAAGGACCGTATTGAGGGTGTAGAACAGATGAAGGACGTTGTCTCCCTCACCGAGGGTCTCTTCTCCTTGTCCAAGGAAACTGCCCAGCTCGAGAGCGAGATCTTCGTTCAGCGCCAGAAGGTCGCTTTGGCTGCTGAGGTTAAGGCCGTTTTGGACAGCTGGGTGCGCTACGAGCAGCAGGCGAAGGAGAACGAGCAGGCAGATCTTGCCAAGGCTGTTATTGCCAACGTTCTCAAGAGCATCCAGGATGAGAAGGCACAGCGTGATATTCTTGCCGGTGCTGTTGCTGAGGTTGAACGTGAGTATCAAATGTCTTCTCGTTCATACAAGTGGAGTACTGATTAGACGGGTGGCTTGGCTATATAGAGCTCGTCAAGAGCAAGGCGATCTAAATGGCATCCTAGGTTGGATTAAATGCGCTTTAGACTATGTGCTAGGTGTATCAACGCTCGACCATCGCCTGCCGCGGGTTGCTTAATAAAACTCTAACCTTCTTTGAGTATTCGTTACTTCCGTAACAACACAACGCTGAGAGACAAGAGCCATCCTTCTCGTCTGCCATATGCGTTCTTATAGGCTGTGTTTCGACCTTCGAGCTTTTAAGCTTCAGCATGGTTATCGATGCGCAGGGAAAAACTATTCATCTATAATCCTGTCACTACTCGAGTTCTGATCTCTAATAGGATCCGAACACAGGGTACAACGCATGGCCTCCTAAACCCCTTCCGCATGTTGTTCTAGGTCCGATAATCCTTGGTCCTTTTCGGTCATGGCGTCAATAGCAGGATGGCAATAGAAGTGTCTCGCTGGATGAGGCAAGGCACTTTCATTTACAGGTAAGTTCTGTAGTGTTTCGTTCTTTATCTTCGTCTGACGCTATACCCTACAAAGACTTTTGAATCTGTTTGACCGAATAGCAAAGATGCAACAGGTCTTGTCTCGACACACGGTATCCTAAGCCGAAACAGCTGATGAATTCACCGTTAACTTTGACTCAGTTCTATTTCGAGCTTATATCTTGATTTTCCACGCGCATGGCTGACTCACCTGGTTGATTTCACGTATTAATATCAGGTCAATGCGGGCCCTCATTTTGCTCATCTCGCTCGTGAAGCTTGAGGCCTCAAGTATATTGAGACCTTTGATCTACGTTGGTTGGTTGAACCCGTTTCATCGTATTTCGCCAAAGCACACCACATGAACGTGTCGCAGTCTTATAATTCACCCGTCAAATTGACTGAACTTCCTTCCTCGCCGACCGCTGAGCGAACAGACATTGAGTCCCATGGTAAGCGCGCGCTAGATGTCCGATGGAATTACTATATTTGTATATGGTCACACCTATTGACGAGGCCATGGCCATTGTGACTGTGTGACCTGACTACCTCCTTCGTCTGCAACTCTCATCTTACAAATCGCAGTATGTTAGCTGTTCAGCACGCTGCATCTGCCCCAGATCCCTTGTCTGTCCCATCCAATGCTCCAGAGCATTGCCCTGTAAGTTACTGTAGCATGCGCGGAACACAGCAACTAATATTGTTTTCGTCATTAGGGTACAGAGTCTGAACTAGCCGGAAAGGCAGATGCATGCGCAGGTTGCGCAAACCAGGAAATATGTGCATCTGGGGTAACTCGCGGACCCGACCCTGCCCTTCCACTTGTCCGCGAGCGTATGTCTACAGTGAAAAGAAAGATACTCGTACTATCTGGAAAGGGAGGAGTCGGCAAGTCAACCTTTACGGCGCAGCTGGGATGGGCTTTCGCTGCTGATGAGGATACGCAGGTACGTCGGATACCCTTGTTTACCTTCGCAATGGACTCACATCCGTCCAGACAGGTATCATGGACGTTGATATTTGCGGACCCTCCATACCTACGATCCTCGGTTTGGCAACTGAACAGGTTCATTCGTCTTCTTCCGGGTGGTCACCGGTTTATGTCCAAGATAATCTTGGTGTCATGTCTGTCGGATTCATGCTACCGTCGTCGAAGGATGCCGTCATGTGGCGAGGGCCGAAGAAGAATGGACTGATATCTCAGTTTCTCAAAGATGTTGACTGGGGTGCCCTGGATTATCTCATCGTCGACACCCCTCCAGGCACATCTGACGAACACCTAAGTATCGTGACCTATCTTCGCGACAGCGGTA